GGGAATCTAGGAGAAAAATACAGAAGAGATTGTAATAAGTATAAAACAGGTCCCATAGAAATGTATTTATTCGTTTGTCAGACAGTTAATTTAGCACTTAACATGTGCCAGTTATTGGGCTAGATGCTAAGGAAGCAGAGGTGAAAGATGTGTAACTCTTGGGGCTCCCAGTTCAGATACAGTGACAAGTCCGAAAGTTGCAGCAGTGCTGGGAGTAATGGTGCTTGCCATGAGGTCAGGCGCAGCTCTTAGCCCTGTACATGTTACATCAGCATCCTAGTAACTCCCCTTTCACAGTTTTCACATCTCAGACTGTTGTCTCCTGAACTGAGTTTACCAACTTCTCTTGTCCCTATTCTCAATGCCCAAATAAGTAATTAAACTTATAAACTTATTAATTAAGTAATTAAACCATTTGTTGGAGATACCACTTTTCCAGTTTTATTCCCTCCCTCCTCCAACTGCCAAGAAACCTTTGCGTTCTTTCTGGTTTTGTTTTTGTTTTGACTTGAATTCCTTCTGCAAATAAAGTCTTAAACTCTGAAATTTCCCCTTTTGATCTTTGTGAATTTATTTTATTATTTAGTTTAATTCTGATGCCAAAGATTGGGATTAGATACCCCCTTCTGTGTTCACATGGAACCTATACATAGTTCCATCAGTAATGTAATTCTTTATTAGTGGTTAAGAACCTGGCTTCACCACTTTAATAACTATATGATCTTGGGCAGATTTTATATGCTTTCCTAGATCTCATTTCTTCATTTTTAGAAGGGATCTAGTCATATATCTACCTTCTGGGATAATCCAAATAAAATGCTTTGTATTTAATCTTGAAAAATCCTGTGAGTTCTTTTTTTACAGAAAAATATGGTAAACTTTGACTTGATTCTGTTAGGGTACAACTGTAGAAACTTCAAATACAAAGAATTTGAGGGGGAATTATGTAGTTTATTACCATGTTTATGCCAACTAATTTTGAAAATTCTATTTTCTAGTACAAGACAAGGTAGATTTGTAACTTTAGTTATTTGGAAAATGGACTAAAAATAGCACCTTTGGTTTCTGTCCAGTAAACGTTATATAAGCAAACCATAATTTTCGTTAGTGTGTGTGTGTGTTTGTGTGTGTGAGTCCTTTTGAATTACGGGCTACCATGAATTGCAGTATTCTTTATGTAAAAAGTCATCCTAGAAGAGATAACTTTCCCACCTTTGAATTTATTCAAGAAATTGACCAACGTGACTATACAAAAATAAGAAAATGGGAAGGAATGGGCGCCTGGGTGGCTCAGTCGTTAAGCGTCTGCCTTCAGCTCAGGTCATGATCCCGGGGTCCTGGGATTGAGCCCCGCATCGGGCTCTCTGCTCCATGGGAAGCCTGTTTCTCCCTCTCCTGCTCCACCTGCTTGTGTTCCCTCTCTCGCTGTGTCTCTCTCTGTCAAATAAATAAACAAAATCTTTTAAAAAAATAAAAATATAAGAAAAAATGTGAAGGAAGACAATAAACTGAAGTATTTATATTAAAAGTCAAGTGGTTAATGTCTGTACTATGTTGAGAATACATTCTGCAAATAAATGGGCAGAAGGCTAGAAACAGTCTGTGAACAGGGGGATATGGGAGAACCGTGTCCTGGTATATATTAAAAACAAAAACTGAGGGGCACCTGGCTGACTCAGTTGGTAGAGCATGCAACTATTGATATTGGGG